CTTAGATCTCGCAAGCGACCTAAATCCTGCAATAGGTCCTGACGCAAACCCTCGTACCCCCTTCGTTGCACCCACAAGCATGCTAAGCCCTGCTCTGCCCTACCTGTCAGGTGGTCACCGCGATCTGCATGACATGTATGTGGATCATGAGCCTGTCGGGTCTGGTCGGTTCACTTGCCTACGGAGTGCCTTGGACCGGAGGCTTTCGTCAGAGAGGGTTCTGAGCGCAGGGCTTCGAGGGCTTAGGCGTTAGGAGTGCTTCAGTTGGCATGAGTCCGGGGCAGACCACGTCAGAGAGTCGGGGTTCAGCAATAAACCCCAAACCCGAAACCCTAAACCCGCTATGCGGGTGCCATGCTTCAGCTCGGGCCTTGGGTGGTAATGGGCTTCCAAGGAATCTAGCAAATAATCCTGGTGTATATATATATATATACATACATATATATACACATATATATATATATGTATACGTGTTATATATATATATATATGTATACACATACATGCATACAGGTTTAGGATTTAGGGTTTAGGGCTGCCTTTTTTGCATAGGGTCTCGGGCTGCCACCCCCCACCCCCCACCCCCATCCCCGCACCCCCCATGCCCCCATGCTTTGGGTCCCTACCCCCCACCCCATGGTGTGGGTGTGGTTGGGGGGCTAGGCTTTAGGGTTTAAGTTTAGAGCCTATCCCCCCCCCCTTCCCCCCCCCCCCCCCCCCCCGCCGTTTGTGGTGTGGTTGGCGGGGTTAGGGTTGAGTGTTTAAGGTTTATATAGGGCCCAGGATTTGGGGTTGAAGGCTTAAGAGACCGGCCGCCCGTGCTACCCCTGTCCCTCCCCCCCCGGTGGTGTGGGTGTGGTTCGGGGTTAGGGTTTGGGGTTTAGGGCTTGAGGTTTAGGGGTTACATAGGTTTAGGGTTTAAGGTTTAACCCCCCTTGCCGGTGCTGTGAAATGGAGGTTGGCGTTTGGGGGTGGAGGTATACGGTTTAGGTTGAGGGTGTGAGGTTTAAGGTTGGTTGAAGGTTTAGGGGAGAGGTTTGGGGTTTGGGGGGGGGGGGTGGGCGGATATCATGGTGGGGGGATACAGAGGTTTAGGGTTCCCCCGCCCCCTGTGGTGTGGGGTTGGGTTGGGGGGGGGGGTTGGGTTGGGGGTTGGGTTGGGGAGGGGTTGGGGAGGGGTTGGGTTGGGGGGGGATTGGGGGGGGGACCAGACCATGGGTGCGGGGGGGGGGGTGGCGAACCGAGAGCCGGGATCATGTATACACATCCTAGTGACTTTGTTGTGGCAGTACGTAACCACCAGAAAGCTCGGGCTTCCTTAGAGATGTTCAGGGGTACTATTTGTTCTCATTACTTCTGACGTATTCTTTGCACATCGTCTGATATTTACGAAAAATCGACTATTTCTACATGTTAGTTCCATGAAGACCGGCATTGGTTTAGGCTCGAAATTTTTGTGGAACTCCTGAACACCCCGCGCCACAAGTCCACAGGATGCATCTCGCCCTCTAGGTCGGCAAGCATCTCCAGCTCAAGTACCACAAGCGCTTTCAGTTCTTCCTGTGCCATCACAAGAAATCTTCCGGCGCCTTCGCGCGGCTCTTGAAGATGAGCCTCGGTTAGGGTTTAGGGTTTAGGGTTTAGGGTTTAGGTTTAGGGTTTAGGGTTTGGGGTTTAGGGTTTAGGATTTAGGATTTAGGGTTTAAGGCTCGGAGCTGCGATTGTAGGATATTGCGGGTGAATTCTGGGATAAGGTCTCCCAGGATCTGCAAAGGCTCAAAGCACAAGGGCAACTTGAAGCCCTAACCCCTAAGTTCGCGATCTGCTTTCTCTTCGCAACAGCCTTTCATGAAGAAAGTAAAGTTGCAGACAAGGAACAACCTAAAAGACTTCGGTCTGCGTAGAGTCTAGGACTTCGGTTCAGGCACAGCTCATTGGATCCAGTACCACCCCAGCCCAAATTCCTCAGATCAACCGAGTAATAAAGTTCACCACCTGTACCCACAATAAGGTCCAGGACAGGCTCGATTGCTACTATTTTCTTACGAACTCTCCAAAAACATAAAGAGTAATTCTCCCTTTATAAGGAAGATCATTTTTGTTAGGGTGTTTCTTAAGCAAAAGGAGATTAAGGGGGTTTTGGGCCTTATGGGTGGCTGGGGGCGGGGCGCGCGGTAGGAGACCCTATCGCTCCATTCCGAGGCATTCACAGCCTGGATTTATAACAAATCGGGTTTAGGGTTTAGGGGCTCGGGCTTTCACAGGAACCTGGCTCAGAAAGACATGGAGGGTGGCGACGTGTTCATTGATTGCGACGATCTGACAGATTTGACAAGGCAGCTGCTTTGGAGGGGGGTCTAAGGTCTCTGGAAGCTGTTAGGGTCGTGTTCCTTAAAGGATGGGTTTGCCTAGCGAAGAAGTCAGTGGCTGAGGATTTGTCGGAGTCCTTCATATGCCCTGCACCCTAAATCAAACATATCATACCTCGAATGCACAAAACATCTGCATCTCAGAAACTGTCAACCTGCGTTAGCTTGACGTGTGGCCGGCAGCATACGAGGCCTGCAAAGGATATCTGGAAAATGGCAATTACTGCCTTGATGCCCCCTGAAAAATCAACACTAGATTGAAAATGTTCCGTGGTGGTGCTTTCGCATTGGACGTTGCAGGCCGTTGCCTGCCAAGCCACATGCAACAACAGGGGCACAACATGCATTCAACTACACTTGAAAATGGCACAAGCAACCTATATTGGCCGCACGCGTTTCTGTGGAATTGTGACTCTTATTGTATTGGTACATACCTGCACATCAGCACCCAAAGACACGCAAACAACTCGGGTCGCACGTGCGAACCGCTAGTGTTTCCGAGGCCAGAGTCTTAGCTACACTTAGCCGACTTAGGTACACTTAGCTTGTGGATCTTCTTGGCAGGCTGTTCGGGTATGTGGCGCACGAGACCAGCACCTTTGTCATTCTGGGCAGCCCGCACGTGCTCACGCGCAAGTGGCCCCTCGGCCCATTCTGACCCTGCAGCCTTTTTTATCTTCCGCAGCGAGCAGACCTCCTTCACAGCTCCTGTCCGAACAGCGCTTTCAGGGATGAGCACTTCATCTGAGCCCGCGTGCTAGCAGGTTTTGGGAACGGGATCAGAGCAGCCCTAAACCCTAAACCCTAAACTGGGCTTCAGGGGGTTGCCGGGCCCAGGTGCATCGGAGAGATGGCAACTGCTCGGATGCACGGCGTTGAGTCGGTGCTCTTGGCATCTTGGGGGCATTCTGGGGGTCCAGGGTTTAGGGTTCCTTGTGGTGTGTTGTTGCAGACCTTCTACACAACACCACTGCGCGGGTTGTTGTCAATGGTTCAGCCTCTGCTCCTTGGACGGAAAGTGCGGGCGTGCGTCAGGGGAGTGTCCTCGGCCCGCTTCTTTTTAACATACTCTTTAACGGTATCGCTGATGCTGTGCGGGCCGTTTGTCCCGGCGTGGCCTTGGGTCCTGAAGCTGCAGCCCCGCGTGTCACGCTTTTACTGTACGCTGATGACCTGGTTGTTTTGGCTGAGACCGCTGATTCTTTGCAGAGGGCTTTGGATGCTGTTGGTGCATGGGGTGCTCGTTGGCATTTTTCATTTGGGATTGGCCCAGACAAAACTGCAAGCATGGTTTTTGGCGCCAGGTCCCAAAACTTTCGGTTTTCGCTGCATGGAAATGCCTTACCCTGCGTGTCATGTTACAAATATTTGGGTGTTACTTTCCAGTCATCCGGAAAGTGGCGCGAGCATGGAGCGCGGCTTGTCGAAAAATGTCGCTGCCGATTCTACCAGTTCCTTGGATGGGCTGAGAACCGTCAACTTCACACTGGATATAGAAGCAGCCTATTTCGAACTTATGTACTTCCTTCCATGATGTATGGTGCCCAATTCCTAGATTCGGCGTGGGTAGCACGACTGGACAAAATCATGCGTCAATGGGGACGTCGTTTGTTGCTTTGGCCAACTGGGGCACCGAGTGCAGCAGTTTTGGGAGAACTTGGTTGGCCTCCTCTTTCTGTTGAGGTTGCCCGGGCAAGACTCGGTCTTTTTGGTCGACTTAGTGTGGTACCTGGACATGATGTTCGACGTGGGTTGGCCTCGCGAGTTTTTAACTTTGCGCAGACACAGCCCCATTCCTGGGCCTATGAGGTGGCCCAGTCTCTTAACCAGTACGGCATATCCTTGCCCAGTTCATGGGGGATTTTCCCAGGAGCGTCGGAGCAGCTAGTCTCTCGCTGGATCCAACATCACGTCCGCCCCGCACTGCAAAGAGTAGCGCAATCCCAATATCACTGTGAGCTGGCAGCTTTGACGTCCTTAGCGGACTATGCAGTATTTCAGCCACGACTTGGCGGCGGTAACTGCATTCATGAGTCCAACATTCCCACTTCTATTGTTCGTGATTGGACGCTCGCCCGTTGTGGGCATCACCCTTTTGCTGACGGTAGAAGCGCCCGCCACTCGCTGATGCGTCACCAAGTCTGTCTTTGCGGCACTGGCCAATGGGAATTTCTTCATGCGTTGCGGTACTGTCCTTTGCTGAACGATCAAAGACGGAGATGGCTACAGCGTCTGGGTTTGCAGCACGTGCCGCCTATTCAAGACTGGGATCTTGTACGCTGGATTTTTGACCCCCAGCTCATGAGTACTAATGCTGTGATGAGTGCTCATGTTCGCTTTATAGCATCAATATGTGACGCTGCCAGATCATTGCAAGAAGGCCTTAGACCTCGAAGGCTACCACGCGCCGTTGATTTAGCTGATGGGGTGAATATTTGATCAGCAGTGACTGCTGTTTATGTTGCTGGTCGGAGTACCAAGCTTCTCACTTGTGTAGTGTGTATATATACTGACCGAAGACGGTTGTTCGAGGTCCCTATCTCTCTCTAGGGTTTAGGGTTTAGGGTTCAAAGACCCCTCCTAGGTACCCTTTCCCTTCAGCTTTTCAAGCTAAGGTCTCCTGTCTCCTTA